ACACACACACACACACACACACACACACACACACACACACACACACACACACACACACACACACACACACACACACACACACACACAACTGGGATAACTAGCAATGGGTGCAGTTGAATTCCTCAACTAATGAGGATGAGCTCATCAAGGCATCTGCATGAGAATCGGCGTTAGGAGAGATTATCTCCAAACCGTTCATATGACTCTAACGATATGAGCGACCTTTGATTTCCAGCAGATTGATTAAATAGCCCAAAATCACAAATCCTATTTGTCTCAGAGGGCTTCACAAATCAACAAACACAGTTGGCAATGTAAAACAATGTAAAAACAACAAACGTATCTTACAAGATCAATGTGAAAATACCAATTTAAAAAGGAACATAACACAATGACACAAATACAGTTAGAGTACAATAAATACAATTCCATAAAGCGAAGGGTCCATGAGGATGTATAAAAGGGGGTTTAAAACCAGTCTTAACTGTACGCTGTACTAAAAAGGAAAGTCTTTAACCTACTCTTAAATGTGTGGACTCTGTCTGCCTCCCTAATCGTCACTGGAACTTGATTCCAGAGGAACCGGGCTTGGTAGCCGAAAGCTCTAGCACCTGACCTTTTTCTGTGGATTCTGGGAACCACCAACAGACCTGCACTCTGGGATCTTAATGCCTAGAAGGCATGAACAGTTTTTAGTCTCCGGCTGTGACAGATTTATCAGACAAGTGAGATTAGAGATTCTCACACTGATTTTACATTTATGAATGATCTTCGGAAGTCCATACATTATTAATTCAATTGCTCTTCTTTATAATGTGTTGATTTGGGAGAATATGAAAATCTAAATAGATTTGCAGAAAATGTCATCTGTACTTGAACTTATCTCTGTAAGACGCAGGAGTTTCTTATAAAGTAGGGCACAGAGTCATTGCATAAGTGGGGTTATGGCTCTTTGTAGTCTTTGAAGGCTGAGATGTGTTTCCACTGCAGCTAACAGATGTATATCTACACTGCATAAATTAATACTCTTAGTTTAAATCTAAGAAAATTGATTCAAATAAATGTTTAAAAGTATAGAAGAAGATAAGATATATTTTATGAATGAAACTGGGAAATGTTTTAGTTGTAGCAGCATGTAAAACTAAGTATTGCACACATTTGGAAATAAAAAAAGGGTTGAAAATAAACAATTATACAATGTAAAAATCTCAAAATGGAATGAAAAAATATAAATAAGTAATACTAATTACTTCACACATAGTTAAATTGCCCATGATTTGATTACATTCTAATAATCCTTTTGATATAGATGAGAATATCTTCATACAATGACATAGAGTTGTTTTATTTCTTGTTAGGTACACACATATTGCGTTGCTAAATTAAATGTTTGTGCAGGAATATTCCTACTTTATTTGAGGTTGAGAGGTGTAATTAATCATTTACCTTTTCGAACCACATGAGTTAGATTTTCTGTCATTCTCAGGTTATGCCTGAAGACTTTTGCTACTAGAGGACATTGCATTGAATTAGTGAACAGGAACCGCAGTGGCCTGGGATGTAATTACAAAACAAATACATGACAGAGTTAATAGAAATGAAAACAAACAGTTGAACGCAGTAACGCTACAGACCCATACATCAGGATGCAATGACGTTGTCCTCAAAGAAAGACAAGCTAACATGGATGCTCTGTTTTTCACTTTGTGAGGAAGGGAAACATCAAGTGCTGTGGGTGACTCACGTCTTGCACTTGACTTGTAAAGACTGTTCATCAAAACCTTCAGCTGACTTTCAAGATTGAGGAAAAGCCCAAGTTGTTTGCACGCTTGATTTGCCTTCTTCTAAACTCTTCGGAACTAAATTAAACTAAACTCTTCGAAACTAAATTAATATGTAGGGCATAAGACTAATTCTATGAAAGCTGCTGTTACGGTTAAAACATAACTTACCTTTTTCAAAATCATCGGCCTTAACTTCCACCAAATAGCACACGATGGCTGAGGAATTGAGTCTTCCTTAAGGAATAGATATGATGTCAACCTTAATGAATGAAGTCACTGAATTGATGGCTGTCCTCCTCCCTCTCAAAGCTCTGCCTGAACACGTGCAAATGGTAGTTCTAATGATTTAGGGCCACAACTCATAGAAAGTCCATTATGGTTCAAGTTCATTTCCATTTCTATGATGACGACCATGTCTATTATTCAAAATGTATAATCTGCATTATAGCAATTATTGTTAAAAGCCCTCACAAATATGTATTATGCATTAAAACAGTAATCATAACACATTATAAAGTATTTTTTAATTAATCATTAGAACAAGTTTAATAAAAACCTCATGATTGCTGGATTCATTACATTCATTTTTTATTTAACTGAATGCAAGCAACGTATACCTTTTTTTTTTAATAGTTTCAACCAGCTTATAATGTAGGAATTTCATTACATAATGCATCATAAATAATCATAATGTATGACAACTATAAGAGTTACAACACACTATGATCAGTGAGGTGTCAGCAATAATAAAGTACTCTGATACTTGACCGTGAATCATTATGAATAGCTTTTTACTGTTTTATTATTATTATTATTATTATTATTAATAGAAAGCGTTATTTCTGACTGCTTTAACCTTTAATTATACAGTTTCATAAGCATATTATAATCATTAAACATGTGTTTATAATGCATTTTAGTAAGTGGCTCAAGTGTTGCCATAAATTACACACAATCACCTTTTCATCTTTTAGTTCTGATGACATTTTTTTTAGTGAAAGTGTTTTTCTCTTTTCCAAATGTTACCCAAGCAGTGTGACATCCTCCTCTAGCTTTAACACACCAGACGTGTACCTTTTTATAACAAAATGTTCCCCCTGATAACAGTTGGCTCTTGTTTAAAGAAGCATGTCTCTGTTCTGAGAGGTTATTCTCAAATAATAGCTCTCAGCCAGAGGTCATGCCGCCTCGGTCAGAAATCCTTTCTGTGCCCCACCCGCTGATTGTAGCTTTGCCCGGGACAGAGCAACTGTTTGAGATGACATCTGACTCCAGCCTGAGCCTGAGGTTTGCCTCTCACAGTCCGTCAGCTCTGCTCCGGCGGGGGGTGAGAGTGGTTCGATGATAGGCTACAGAGTCATGACTTTTATTTCCTTTTAACACATCAATATGTTTCTCTTTTGTCAACCGTGGACATTGAGAAGAGACATTTGAGAGTAATTAGCTGAGAGGGAAAATATCCATACCCGTAACTCAATATCCATTTAGCTAATCAGGTCATTTTGTTTCTTCATAACAGTGGGAAACAAAAGTGTGATTGCATGTGTGCTTCTGAAATCTATTGACTTTTCTGTAATTGATTATGATGGTCTGTACCGACTCAGTGCAACCGTAACTGCGTATGCGTGTGAAGACTTTTGCTTGTCTGACTCCCTCGCAGCACTATAAAGAACTTGCTGTGAAGAGTTAGTCATCTGAGGCCAGCTTCCATCGACCCGCGAGCTAACAGCCCTGCAGCAGGTCTGCCATGACACCGTAAACTTTTTACACTCTAATCAGCTCTATAAAGTCGAGGTGTGCTGCAGCGGAGGAGTCATTGTACTAATGTGACACCCAAAGAGGACGGAGCATGCATTAAAATAATATTATCCCCATTTTATTACATTTACTGTAAATATAATCCAAATTTGTCTTAGTACAACATTGACACTAACTGTGTACCCACAAGTTAATATGTAGTAAAAATGTCATGGGGTTTGCCAGCGTTGCATCACATCGCAGTGGGATGTCTGTTAACAGTAAAGCTCCGACAGTGTTGCCAATGAGTAAACATCATGTTTCCCCGAAAACCTGCCGGCACCTGTTGGCCGACCACTATCAGAATCTATCTGAGCTTTATCAAATATGACTGACAGTTGAGCAGCACTGCAAACATGTGTATCCAACATACACAAACACATGCAGACAAGCACATCCAGCATCTCCACACCACCACCAACACCACCTCCACTATGTTAGCTCTTTTCCAATACAGGAATATAACAACCTTGAACTTGTAAGAGCCTTTGAGTTCTGGATCTAAATTTCTGCTTTGTTTTCCACTTTATTTTACCCAACACAAATTCTGTCTCAAGGTGACACTGTGAGAAACAACGTAATGTGTATGCATGTCAACAATGGACGAGTTAAGCTTTTCTTTCAAATTGACATCTGATGACTTTTAAATGCAGTTTCGCTGAATCAATGGAAGAGCTCCGCAGCACAGTGGGGAGTCGACAGAAGGAGCAAAAAGAGAAAAACACTTATAAATCAAATGTAATATTTTGCATCTGGGTGCGCTTCCCTGCTACTTTGTTGGAAAACATAGCTTGAAATGTTACACGATTTTAGAAAAAACTACCTGGATGTTTTTTTGGGAAACTATTAAAGTACTCACCAGCACTTCACACACTATGGGACAAAGCATAACAATGCAACGCAACTCATGTCAGAAGTTCTGAATAAGAAAATAGCTTGCATCTTTTACCATCATTTTAAACAATGTTTTCTATTTTGCAAAATGTTTATTGCATTTCATTACCTGAAAGTATCTAGAAACGTGAAAGAAGACTCAAGAACTCTCCCACAATAGCTTAACCTTTCTGTGAAATATAGATCATAGGTCCTTTTGAGCTACAGTTTTCATGACCATGGTGACTGAGAATTTCAAAACAATTTTCATCAGCAGAAATGAAGTAGTCCCTATTCATGAAAAACTATCAATCATCCTCAAATGGCTAAACACATGGCACAATGTCATTCTATGTAAACTGAAGTATTCATTTGTTAAGCAGATTAACACGGTTGGATACGAGTTCAAACTCTAGCAGATTTCATTTTGGTCAACTGAAGGACACAAAGGAGAGATTGGTTATCAAATATTGTTATAAAATACTTTTGTGAAAGCATATAAAGGATGCATTCAAACCCTTAGAATTTCTCTTGTATTGCCTGCTGACAGACATGTGATAATGAATGACCTTAAGCATAATGAACAAGGTACTCCACTGTTATAAGGGCTTACACTGAGGCCCTCTGGCTGAATTACGGTCACGATAATCACAAAGTCAGCTTGAAGTCATTGGGGTATTTCCCAGCCATCCTCCCTACAATATTGAACCATATTTCCCAATCCAATTTAGTCCTCTTGTTTTTTTTCTCAACTTAATTTAATAGACTAATCAAACATCTTCTCAATCAAATGGCGGCGACTGCCAAGAGTCATATTCTGTATTTACTGTTTGAACTCAGTGGAGGAGTGCGGCTTGTTGAGGATGCACCGTGTGTTGATACATAAGCTAGCTTCAGTTTCACTTTTACGGCTTCATAAACTTAATCATTTATTCCTAGATGATTTAAAAAATGTCTGCATATGTGATCTTTAAAACCTCTGCGGTGTAAAGGCTACCAAAACTCTTGATTTAGCTTTGTTACAAACTTAAGATAGATGCCTAATAAAACCACAGGCTAATGAGTATGAAAAAACATAATGACTGCTACTGGAAGAGTAAAATAGGGGAGAAAACAATGAGAAGACGCCATGTAATGACTAAGAGTAGTTTGGCAGGAGGGCAGACCAGCTGTTCATTTTCAGGTGTGCGGGGGCAGCTCGGCCCTCCTTTACAGGAACTGCCGTAACGTCCAGCTGCCATTGGACCGCCTGTGGTCCTGTCGTACCCATTCACCACACTGAGTAATTAGACTCCAGACTCATTATAAAAACAAGTTGCTGAACTATTTTAGGAGCCCTATCGCCTGTGCCTCCAAAAGTCTCATTTGCTCAATTCATCTCAACCCGCTGGTGCACAAACAAAATATGGTAATGCCCCACATCCCGATGCCCTTAAATCAAATGCAGTTAAACATCAAGACTGAGGGGAAATGTGTCATGATTGATGTGCGTTGTGATTGATGTGTCTGTAGTTCAACCGCTATAATGGCCTCCTCTCAAGTGGAATTTCCAAAATGCACAGGCTTTGTTCCGGACATTCACGACTCCGTATGGAAAACCATTTCATATCAAGTTATTGCAGCCTCCAAACCTCTTTCCCACTTTGTCTCTAGACATTGTGTTGCTCTTTGTTAAACATAATTGTGTCAACAGTCACTGGAGATGAGAAACCAGACTTTTTTGATAAGCGCTTTCCCACAAGGTAAATTTGGCAGGCGGGGTGCGAGCAAACAAACCAGCAGACAGTAATTTTCCGCTGTCTGTTACCGTGCATTTTAATGAAGTTGATGGATTAATGCCTCACTTCAGTAATAAGCCACACGGAGAACACCGGTTAAGCCTGTTCTGCTCTATCAGCGCCCGGCTTATCACATCAGTAATGGTCACTCAAGTCCTGATCGGTCTGTTTCCGCGTCCTTTTTCCATCTGAATGTCTTTGTCGTAAATGGCTCTCTTTTCCAGTGGAAAGCAGTTAAGCCTCACAGAAACATTGCTGTCCTAAGATTAAATGGTCCAAAACAAAAGCTCTTAACTGTTGTGGCTGATTTCCATGATGATTAAGCTGTCGGGGGAAAACATTAAGCAGAGCTAAAATGCACTTCATGATGTTCAGTGAGGGTAGTATGTGTGATTGCATATGTTTGACACAGTTGAGCCGTTTAATGTGGGTGACCTTTGTCCATGTATGTGTATATCTGTCCATCTATACATATGTGAACGTTTTGTCTATTTGGGAACAAGTCTATGTCCAATGGGTAGCTTGTGTCTTGACTTGTGTCTGTAGGAAGGTTGTCGTAATTGTTGCGAGTATCCATGTTACTTTTTATATTTTAATATCTGCTGTGGCAAATGTAGACGTGTAGAATTAAACTTTTCTTGAAGTTTAACAAAGTAATTATTCACTTTTAGAAAAACTTCAAGTACTTTGCATTGTCATACACATTTTATAAATAATCCAGTGTTACTTTTGACAACTACTGATTTTTGTGAGCTTCCTAAACTTTTTACAGTGCCTTATTTTAAAACAAAGTACCAAAAGTTCAATAAAAACATAGCATGTGTTGCTGCCTGCTTTGGACACATTTGGGCTTATGCTCTCTGGTGGATATCAGCATGTCATTTATAACAAATACTACTTATCTATGATTTAAATCTTGCACTAAAACACCTGCAACCTTATTCTGTCTATCAAACTGATTGTGCTCTCTGCCCTGGAAAACTGGTATAATGTTGTTTATGGGCTCATGTGTCCAACAAAAAACCCTCAGAAGAACCGTATAACACGATGCATCACGAATGCCTGCTTTATATTGTGGTAAATCTTAGAAATCATTGACTGACCGCATGAATAGACCATCAATGCTCTGTTTTCGGGTATACCTGTTCACTGGTTTTAGAGTTATTTAGAGTTTCTTAATGGACCCTGCCAGTGCCACACTCTCCACCCAAGTCTTTGATCAGTGTCCACCTCCCAGCCTCTTATCTGGAATAACACAATAGGCCCACTGCCTGCTCTTATTCTTCTCTTCTCTGGCTCAGCCACACACACACACACACACACACACACACACACACACACACACACACACACACACACACACACACACACACACACACACACACACACACACACACACACACACGTGTTTGTGCTCGTGGTTCCTCTTCTGAGTTGAATATCACTGTAAAGAGTGTCTTCACTCTCCGTTATTGCCTTTCTATTGTCCACTGGCTTTGTGTGCAGGGGCTTTTTGCGTCAGCCCGGCTGGAATCGCCCCATTTACTGTGATTAAATGGGAGCAGAGGATTTTGGGGGAATGAACCGTGAATCTTTTTAAAGTGAAGAAATGCAGTACACACTCTAGAGTACCTTTGCTCTACAAAAAACCTTCACTCTGACTCCAAACATCCCAGTCCGTTGACAAAGTATGTTTGGATCGGTCTCCTTATGTGTTTATGCTGTCCATGATTGTGTTTGCCTCACATATAAACTCTGTGTGTTGTGGTAATGTTGTTTATGAATCTCAGTCTAACAGCAATTCCCCTGTTCTGTCATTAGTGAAATCGAAAATATGCAATTCAAAGCTCCATACGAGCTGATAACACCACCTGAGTACCTCCATTGAAGTTTGATTGGTCAGCAGCTGCTAAACACAGTATTTAACAATTTATTTCTCTTAGTCTAGATTAAGATTGGAACCAACATTGTTTCTCCATTATATATTAATCTATCCATTTATAGGCTGTAACAAGCACTTGGTTTATACACAATAGATATCAAATATAAAACTCTGTCAATAAGTATGCTATTTTCCAGCACTCGTGTAGATTAACCATGAAGTTGCTCAGCTGTGATGTTGTGAACTTTTCTGTGCTCAGAAAACATACTGTGTTCTTTGAGGTAAAGTGTGCCCTCTCAGAGCTGTTAATGACCTTCATTACACAGTAGTAATAACTGGACTGGGCACAGAGGATTATGGTCCAGCTTTCCCACAGGGGGAAACACGTCAGTCGGTGTGATGGTACCGGGAGCTGGAGAGGGCTATTGGGAATAGAAATGGAAATAGGCTTCTCTGATTGTGAGCACACCCTTCTACCGGCTAATGCAGCCCATTAGCTACACTTGGCACAGTAAAATGGAGAGAAAAAACTCACAGCTCCTGATTAAAAATGTGCTGTACAGAGAAAGCAGCAATCCAGATATCAAGGTTTTAACAACATTATGTTTTCTAAAATCTTTGATGCTGCTTTAAGTGGGTCTATGCTATAATACATCCATAAATAATGCATTTACTGTAATAATATATTACATGTCAATTGGCCTAACTTTACTGTATAACGATTTTGAAGGTCAGATGTGTACACAATCTTTTTGGTTCTTGGTCTCTATTGCATTTTGAGCAGAGTATCCAAACTGAATACCACTTCATTCATTTCTATTAACATGGCAGAGAATACCCCGAGCAGATTCATGTCATACTTTATCAGATGTAGAGCCGTCATCAGATTTACAGATTCAAATGTCCTTGTGTGATCACTGATCATATCTCTTTGTCTTTTCAGGTATTTGGTGATTATTATCACTTCCGGCATCGCACAGTGGTGAAGAGATCTTTGTCTGATCACAGAGGGACACAAGTCCGTCTCGAAAGAGATCCCAAGGTAAGACGTTTATTTCAGGAGCTACGAGCGTTGGACTGTGAGTTCAGGGATGTCGATCAGGTTCATGTTTGATTGGGAGTATGAACATTTGGATGTATAATGTAAAGTTATAGAGATATTAAAATCTTCATCATATTATTATCACAATTTAAACGCAAGATCACATTAATGTGGCAAATGCAAACAGCTGTAGTGTGTTGTGAGAGGCAGCTTGAAACTTGGTGCCTGATGTCTGTTGACTGTTTTTGTTCCAATGTAAAAATAGTAAAAAGAAAAAAGAATTGCAATAAGCAGAGTACTTTCAGCTGATGGGGCTTTACTACGTGTTTTTTTTCTTTCTGCTTGACTTTGAATTATTTCAGATTATTAAGAAATAATGTACAACTATGTGATCCATAAATTATCCATAAACCACATTTCCATAACATCTTCTGCTTAACGCATTATATTAATATTCAATGTTATAGCCATGTTTTTACCCAACACTGTTATTGAGTATTAAGCCAGATCTTCTTTATTGGAAAACAATATCTGATTTTTTCATGATTTATGATCTCAGAAATCTGCTGCAGCTAAGATTAAACTTTTCCTTTTACTCTCTTTTTCTATGCTTAGTATTCAGTCAGTCCACCCAATGATCAGTTCCAGGTCTTGTGTGTTTAGGATGAGAAGCAAAGAAAAGAGGAAGCAAATAATACAGTAAGATAAAAGCCACTGGGCAAAGAAACAAACCAATAGCCCCCATTTGTCACCTCAGTGTAACGTCTGTCTCAGACCAGGTGCCTCGTGCTCAGAGGTCACATGATGCTCTCCAGATACATGTGAAACTATTTCCTCCTCTGACTGATCCAAATTGAAATTTCACATTTCTGTAGTTTCTCGCTGTTTTTGAGAGATTTTGAAAATGAGACCGTGTCCTACCCCATTGGGAAGGACAAAAGGGACAAGTGTGAAATTAACATTTGTAGCTTTGGGAATACAAGGGAGTGTGCGCCGGTAAAAGAAGAAGTAGAAGCTTTAAAAAGAAAATCTTCTATCCGCCTCTAAACTTTGAAAGTACTGAATACAAACCTTAGCAAGGTTTTTTTAAAGGCCTTTTACCATCTACTTGACTAACTACTAAACGCTAAAAACGTACAGCATTAAAGCAAATGAACCTGAAGCAACAACATCAAGTGCTAAGCAAAAAACATTTGTAACTTGCTTTCTGGTGAACACATTTAAAACCATGACACTGTTTCCATATCACAGCTTCACTTCACTGGTTTCATATTTAGGTTTGTGTAATGTCCTTCAGTGTTCAGTAGTATCTGTGGACAGGGGAGTGTTAGTTTAATGGTGTTATGACAGGCTGGCTTGGTTTCACACAGCCTCTCTGCATCCTCAGCAAACATTACATTTTAGATTCAGTGTACAGCAGCACTTGGAAGCAGCTGTGTAATGTTAAATGTCGCTGAAAAAAGACAAAACTGTCATTTTTCTGCTGCCTTTCTTGCATCGCTTGCTGAACCTCGTTGTCGATCTAAAAAATATTAATTGGAGCTGCCGGATGGTACTTCTTTGTGTGTGCTCCTGCGTGGTTCACCGGCTGAGAACGTTTAAAGTGTTAGAGTGCAGAAGGGTGCATTAGACATCTGGTGCACCCAGAGCACAATGGGTTACAATGAACACTGAGTCTGAAATGGCTTTGGCTTTATATAGCCAATCGTGATCAACTCCAATGCTGATCCAGCCGAGCGGCTCAGACTCCTCCGCTCCACTCCTCATTTGGTTCTTTGTTTACTCGCTGATTGGAGTTTATTTTGCGTTGTGTGTGCTCTTCTTCTCCTAATGATGAAGCTTGAAAATGTTGAAAACATCTTTCACCCCGTTTCCCAAATCCCTGCCTTTCAATGGCCCGTCTCTTCTTCTTTCTGTCTCTTCTTCTTTCTGTCTCTTCTTCTTTCTGTCGCTTTTTCTTTGGAAATGATATGAACATTATGAACTGAATTGTGTCCACTTTATTTGAGTGATGGTTATTAAAGGTCACATACTATGCAAAATCCACTTTTTCATGTATTTTCTACATAAACCTGTGTCCCCTCTGTGTAAAGAGATTCTGAAAGTTTCAGGAAAAAA